ACGAAAGCTTATGTTCTAATAAATTTGTTAGTCTCTAAGGTGCCACAAGTACTCCTGTTCTTCTTTTTGAAAATACTTTCAGGAGTTTGTGCAAATGGACCTTTGTGCCCACTGGTATCTGTTTTGAATGGGCGAATATGGGCTCCTGCCTCTGGGATGCACCTCACTGCTGGATGTGCTGCACTGTACCCCATGTTATTCCAGTGCTGGAAGTTGCCAGTTGTGGAGTGATTTTCTGATAGAACAGTGTCCTCTAGAGACCCCAGGAGACTCATTCTCACCTGTGACCATGCAGCCCTATAACACTGTCTGACTGTAACTCTGACAGGCAGAAGGTCCCAGGAAGTTGTGTGCTATAAACCCCAGACCCACTCAATCTCCCCCCTGTAGATTACCAAACAGCCCAGCGCAGACTGACTAGCCACTGATTTATCTGCTGGCAAAAAACGGTGCTCACCTAACCCAATGGGCTCAGGCGAGATTCCCCTCCCAGCTCTGCACTGCAGAATGCTACTACGGTACCCTGCTTTCCATACCCTTGCAGAATTCCTGGTGACCGTCAATGCGGGGATGTGCATGTAGCAAGAAGGGAATGCTGGAGCTAAGATGCAGAGCTGGGAGGAGAACCGCTCCTAGTATGGGACGTTCAGTGCAAGTCCACAGAGCTAAGCTGGCTGGCTGGAGACCCCCTTAGTGCGACTGGGGGGGATCTGGCTCAGGGTGCTTGAGTTCCACATTTAACAAGGTCCTTTTTTAAGCAAAGAACCTGTTTGTGTTGCCTGGACTAATTGACCGGACAGATCCCTGTGCGTTAAGCTCCAAAACAATTACATGCAGCAGCAAAGAGGGTCCCAGAGCCCTGTAGTGTTTGCTGTCTTCATGTTTAAAACCAGTTGCCTAAAAGTTGAAGCAGTTTCCTTCTGTTTTAATGCAAAAGATTTTGGCTGTAACAAAGCTGTTACGCTTTGAACTTGTCTTCGGATTACCTTTCCTGGGCCCTGCCAGGCCACCAAGACAGGGTCAGTGCTTTTAACCAACACTGAACAGACGAATGACGTTAACAAAACAACTAAGGTTACAAATTCAGCTCCCCCACCCGCCATGTATTTCTGCCCGTTTCATCAGTTCTTGACCTAGAGGGTTGTAAATGCAGGCAGCCAGGCCAGGATCTAAGCAAGCCCCAGGGGATGTGACTGAATAATCTATCAGGAAGAGCTGATTTCCTCCCCTCCGTGTTTATACCCTGAATCCTGAGAGCCCCGGGGTTTGTAACACTGCAGACAGGGTGCAGCTGGAAGGCCACTAAGAAGGCAGATGCAGCTGGGTTTATTTAAGGGCCCTGTGGAAACTTCTTGTCTTCTAAAGGAGCTAGCTGAGGGCCTGTCCTATCAGCAGAGGATTACAGTGAGGTGGAATTACCTGGGCATCAGTGACTGGCTGGTGTCTTGTGACTAACCCTGGGCCTCTGTCTCCTCATGGCTGGTCAGTAGTCCTAGGGAAGGACTTGTACTCCAGGGTCTTATTGCCCAAATAAAACCCAGTCCTCCTCTGCTGTCTCACTTCTTGGCCACAAAGCAGGTGCTTGCGAGCTGGGCAGCAGGGTCTTGCTGCGCTCAACACCCTGGTTTTATAGCAGAAGAGTGAGATTTTCTCTCTGCCCTTCCAGCCTCGTCTCAGCAGAGAGAGAAAACCAAGGCGGTTCCGTGCACGGTGTGTGTGTCATGCAGATGCCGACTAGCCCTTTATTACAACACAACTTAGGCTAATGTGGAGTGAAACCTATTGTGTCAAAGGGTTTGTCTGTGAAACTCTGTGTCGGCCCAAAAGCTGAATGCCCTTTGTGCTGCAGAAGGAGCAAGTATTTCTGAAATGCATTCATAAGTGATCTGTCACTGGGGCACATTTGTGACCAGGCATAGAAATGGGTTGATGATACTGTTCCTCAAGGGCCCAATTCTGCCGCGGCTCTGCGCATGGAAGTCTCCGTGAGATGTCTCTGCATGGCGTGGCTGCACGGTCAGACTGTACAATCAGGGTGCTGTTTTTCTGGGGTGAGTGGTGGGGGAGCCCAGCCTCTGGGCGATGGTGTTAGTGATCTGCTTGTTTCTTCTCTCTGCTTTTTCAGCACCAGCTCCTGTCGCTGACATCCGCACAGATAAAATTGAACAGAAGAGCGTTTCCTTGTCATGGCAGGAGCCGGGCTTCCCAAGTGCCAGTAACATGGAGTACGAAATCAAGTACTATGAAAAGGTAGATCCTTTGGAGACTTGTTTCCCATCTTTTCAGTGACATGCCAAAAACTCCAAATGAGAGGTTCCCCCGCTTCCCAGCCAGCTTTGTGATACATAGAACTGTGCTTACAGATGCTGTCTGCATGTCTCCCCTGTAACGTTTGCTGTGACCCACTTGCTTTGTAAATCCTCAATAATGGAAAGTGTGTGTGTGTGTGTGGGGGGGCATTGTCAAGACTTTACTGGCATAAGTTTGGGTTGCTTCTGCTACTTAAAAGTTCCACATTTCTCAAATCACCACTACACAATCTGGTTATACACGCTTTAAATTATTTTAGCTATTTTTAGAGTTTATTTTCATTGGGTTTTTTCTGTCTCCATCTGTGAAGCCTGTCAGGTTGCATCAACACTGCGAGTCCTAATATATAAACCTCCAGGGAGAAAGAGTAGAACTTAAGCATGTGTAGAGGTTTTTAACAGCTTTTCCTTAACTGCATTAGAATTCTGGGACTTGGGAGCTTGCAACCAGCTAAGTTAGAAATATGTGCTTAGTCCCTTTGGATGAAGGGCATTCCCAGAACCACAGGAGGAGGAGGCTTATATTTTTGGCACTGATGGATCACAAAATACTGAACCTTAAAACTTCAGTGAGTTCAGGACTGACTATTATCAGTCCTGGATATTAGAGCAATGATATGTGGGTGAAATTCCACACGGGAGGGGAATGAAGCAAACATTTTTGTGATTGTCTTTTAAATTAAAAAATGGCCACTTTTGATAGCTGTTGTGAGGTTTGAGAAGGTTAGAAGTAAAACTAGTGGGCAGAGAGCAGGGGAATATGTTCAAAGACCAAATAAATGCAGTTTATCACATGGGTCTGTAAATTATCCTGTCAGTGTATGGGGATGCTCCTTATGAAATTCCCTACATGCCAAGCAAAAGGTGCAGTGACATGCTGAAATTCTTTCCCTTGAAACAGATGAGTTTGAAATAGATTCACATTAACTTGCTCTTTAATATCTGAGAGATTCCAAGAGAGGAATTTGTTGTGAGGTCAGTTGCTGAAATATAATATGATAATTTCTTAGCAAAAATACTATAACCACGAGATTTGGAGCACATGTGAAATAACAATCCACTGCCTCTGAACTTGGTTAGTAAGTTTAACTCTACAGTTTAGCAATTGCTCACATGAAAACAAATCAATATTTGATCTGACTCCAGAAAACTGGCTTGGTACCTCGTCCTTGTATTTAAGGACTCAGTTTTTTCCTGATTCTCTACACAAAGGGCTCTGAGGAAAAAACCATCTCAACTAGATAACATGTTGCACAACAACATCTACAGACCCTGGAGAAATGTAATGAACTCTGTGCAGGCTGGGGCATTAATGCTAGAAACTAGGGTTTGAGAAATGTGTTCAGGTTAGTTATTCAGCATAAACAGTGTGTGAGAAACGCAGGCTTGAGCTCTGCTAAGTCTTTGACACAAGGTTCAGCTGTATGAATTCTGGAACCCACAGACTGCAGCAAAATCTGGCCTCAAATAACTTCTACCTGAGCTTTGGGTGAAAAGAGACTAATCTGTTTGCCAAGCAATTTGTTCCAAACTGTCATTGTTACCTCCCATAAGAGCGTAACTCATTCATCATCATCATCATCATCATCATCATCATCATCGAATGTCCCAGCTTTAACAGTGCGTTTCCCCACATTTCACTCACGCCTGCACACACAGCCCCAGTTGCCTGGGAATGCCTCCTTCCCGCCTTGGAATAGCAAACAAGGCAGTGAAAATCCTTCTGTTCTTACCTTGCTACCTACTCTTGCTATTACTTACTTTACAACACCCAAAACATATGAGGCACCTCACAGAAACCCCCTGAGGTTAGTTCCTGCTCCAGGGTGCGACAGGCTAATAGATGGGAATGTAGCACCCCCCCAACGGGGCTGGGCAAGGCAAGATAGAGGTTCTGGATGGGGCGTTGGAACAGTTTGTGTAGTGGGGGCGCTGAGAGCCACTGAACTAGACTAAACCCCGTATATGAATCGGGGTGGGACTGACCAATGGGAGCTGGGGGGGCAGTGCCTGCAGGCGAGAGCAGCGTGTGGAGCCCCCTGGCCCCCCCGCTAGGAACCGGACCTGCTGGCTGATTCTAGGGCGCAGCGCAGTGCCAAGACAAGCAGGGAGCCTGCCTTAGACCCTCTGCGCCACTGACCGGGAGCCACCCGAGATAAACCCACGCCCCAACCCCCAGCCCTGAGCCCCCCCCCAAACCCGGAGCCTCCTCCTGCACCCCAAACCCCTCATCCCCAGCCCCAACCTAGAGTCCTTACCCCCCCTGCACCCCAACCCCTTGCCCCAGCCAAGAGCCCCCCCTCATCCCTGGCCCCAACCCAGAGCCCATACCCCCTCCTGCACCCCAACCCTCTGCCTCAACCTGCAGCCCCCTCCCACACTCCAAATTCCTCGGTCCCACACCCCCAGCCTGAAGCCCCCTCCTACACCCCAAATCCCTCATCCCCGGCCCCACCCCAGAGCCAGCACCTCCAGCCCAGAGCCCTCCCTCCCTCCCGCACCCTAACCCCCTACCCCAGGCCAGTGAAAGTGAGTGAGGGTGGGGGAGAGCGAGCCATGGAGGGAGGGGGAATGTAGTGAGTGGGGGCGGGGCCTCGAGAAATGGGCGGGGCCAGGGGTGGGGCCTTGGGGAAGGGGCGGGGCTAGGGTGTTTGGTTTTGTCTGATTAGAAAGTTGGCAACCCCATATATGATGGAAATCACTTCAAGCCAGGGGGGTGCAGCAGCCCCCAGCACCTCTAGTCCCAGCACCTATGGGATACTACGTATGTCTAGATGGTTTGAGTGGTTTGTTAAGCATAAGCTCCTTCTCTGGTGGTGCTGTGCGAGTGATTGGATTGAGGAGAGTGGAGGCTTGTCAAATTTGCTTTGGGAGGAGGTTTCCTAACAGGAGGCTCTGCCTGGGAGAAGCATGAATATATCCAGGGGCCTGGGACTTTGAGATTCCCAATGGAGAACATGGAGAACGTCATCTGGACTGTGACAACATGTGCTGCTGTAGGCATGTAGAGCCTGCATCTCTGGAGCCTACAGAAAGTTTGTGTTCTTTAAGTTCTGTGTGATTCCTCGGGACAAGGAATACAGCAAAGCCCTCAGAAGGGCCACACGGAGACCTATTGCCTTAGGAAATGCTACATCAGCGTCTTTCTGTTCCGGGCTGCCATGCAGAGTCTCAGCTTCCCATTCTGACATGTGTCAGCTGCTGCTTGAAAGGTTCTGACCATCTCAGTCATAACAAGGCAGAAATCCGGAGCGAGCTGGGTAGGTGAATCACATTCCTGGGACTGGAATCACTAGAGAATGTGCCTGCCAGCTTTGATTACTCCAAGTGTGCTAATACATGTTTATTTAGTCTTGAGAAACAGCCCACTGCTGGTGCCAAGAACAGCCTGCATCCGGGAAGAGCTCTGCCCTCTGTATTCCTGGCTGCTCCAGTCCAACATGCCTGGGAAGCGCCGGTGGGTTTAATACCATCCCCCCGTCATGGCAGGCACTGGTTAGTACCAAAGAAATTAAGTTAGACTGTTTGCAGACATCCAATGTGCTGCCTTCACATTAGCCATAATGAGAACAATTCACTATCCAAACGGCTTTCTGGCCAAAGAGTAGAACATGCAGCCCCCAGTGGAGGGGATGCAGTCCTCTTCATGCTAACGCTGTGTGACTTGCGTCCTGGGCAGGAGAGGCTGCATGAGTGAGGCATTGCAGGGCGCGGGCAGCTCCAGACTAGCTCAGCTAAGATGTTCCTGTGGACGTGTCTTTGCTGTAGTTGGTGCCGTGGCCGAGAGAGTCCCCCGATGCTGTTTGCTGGAGCAGTTTAAAATGCGGTGTTCTCGCCAGGAAACCTGGTTTGTGTGCCAGGCGCTAGGCCACTCTGTGCAGTCGGGAGGAAGGGCTTAGCTCTAGCTGTCCAGCGGCTTTCCACTGGCTGTCAGCTGATGGGATTCGGGCACGGAGCTGGTGAGCTGGTGCACAGAGGCCTTGTTGGTCTGAGTAACCCAGGTCTCCCCAGCCCACCTGCCTGTAGGACTGCCCAGCATTCAGAGCTGGCTCCAGTTTGCGGAGAGGGCCCTCTCCAGACGGCCTGGTGGTGGCAGGTGATCAGATTCCAGCTGGCGGACGCGTCCTCCCCCTGAGTAGTGCAGTGAGTACAGGCGCTGTCTCCTCTGTCCCTCACACCTCTACTCTGCTCACTGCTTTTCAGGGTCCTCCTGGGCTCTGGCCCAGCTGTAGCCAAGCCCTCTTTGGGGGTGTGGCCCCATCTTGGTGCCTTTCACTGAGAACCTGCTCATCGCTCTGGCGAGAGGCAGAGGGGAGGGGCTGAGGCTGAAGGTCCCTTCTCCTCTCCTGGGAAATGGCTCGTAGCAACACCCTCCCCCCCCGCCCCCGGACACGCAGCAGCCCCGTTTAGTTTAAATGAACCCCTCTCTGGGGACTCAATTACACATTCTCACCCACTGTCCCCGGTCCCAGCCTGAAAGGCCCCTTTGTTACAGAGGGAGCTTAAAGAGATGGCCATGCTGCTGCCAGGATGCACCAACTTGCCTCTGTTCTCGCTCAGTCTGCCCCTTCTCCTTCCCCTTCCCCTGATTCCTCCAAGAGCCTCTCTGTTCGAGCAGCCTCCCCTCCCCATCCAGGGCACTGAACATGGGACTCCTTGGCCCTCAGGCGACTCATCCCCCCAACCTGCCCTGATGCGTTTGGGGTCACTTAGCACCTTCCAGCCTGTCCCTCCCTTTGGACTCTTCTCCTCCGATATCCCTTTGGGACGCCGGCATCTTTGGCCAGCAGTTCCAGTGACTTCCCAGGCCTGCTTTGAGGCAGTGCCGTTGTGTACCACAGTCCCCTCGAGGAGCTGGGCCCTGTCGCTGGCTTGATTGTGTACTCAGCGCTTCCCCCGCACATGCCATGCAACCCCTCTGAATGTCCTTCAATAGCCAGACAGGGCTGCCCAAGGTACATCCACGACCACCCTCTGCCCATCCTCTCGGGTTCTTTGGAGATGGTAACTCGGGCTGGGAGGGGCGGGGTGGGGGACAGGAGTGTGCTGGCTGGTGTCTGAGTGCATGCCAGTATGTGACTGCACCCAGCACCCTTTGCTGGCTGGAATGCCAGGCCTGCTTAGCTGTTTATTCTCAGCCCTACCTGGTGGAACTACTTTCTGTTATATGGTGAATATTAATCTTATCCTATATGTAGAGCCACGCTCAGGACCTCCTTGGAGGTAGAGGGGGAGGGGCTTGGTGTGCACTCTCCCAGCGTGCAAGGTGGTGTGAAAGAGAATGTAAAGATGTGAATGGGAGAGGACAGCCAAGGAAGCTGGTGTATCGTCCCTTTTATGACACCCGTTCCCCAGCCTCTCACCTGTCGTATCCGCTAGTCCTAGCTGCGTTTATTCATCCTTCTTGTAACTTTTCAATGTAATTTCTATTAATGAGGCATCTAGAAAACGTTTCATTTTCACTGATGGTCTAACGTTTGGCTAGTCAGCCCTGCTAGGACCCAGAGGCACAGCGATAAGACAGCTGCTCCACAGATCAGCTAGAGGACAGCTGTCAATCTCGTTAAATCTCCCGTGTTTCATTATTTCATAGGATCAAAGAGATCAAAGTTACTCGACCGTGAAAACCGCGTCGACGGCAGTGACAGTCAGTAACCTCAGGCCTGGCACACTCTACGTCTTCCAGGTCCGGACAGCGTCAGCCCAGGGTTATGGAAACTACAGTCCTGGCATCGAAGTGGAAACCTTGGGGGAACGTAAGTGCTAGCAGGCTGGTGGGGTGCGTCTCGAACACAGAGCACACGTCAGGGGCGTTACTTTGAGCTGGAGCAGCTCTACGGCTCGCGGTTTGTGCCTGAGACTCCACTGACTTCAAGCAGCAGAGTCTGTTCTGGGTGTGGGCTGTCCCCTAAGGAGGGAGCGGGCCCTTCTGTTGAGCGAGGGCCTATTCCTTCATTGCTAGGTACCCGTTTCCTTCCGCTGTCAGAGACTGATGTCGTGCTAATGAGGGCTGCTGGCTTGACAGCCTTGCAGGCTGACGTCCTCCAATTGTCCACAGAGCAGGTGCAGCATCGACAAGGGCACCCGCCTGCCCGCTTCTGCCCTGCCCTAGAGGGAGCCCCTCGGCAGGAGAAGGGGAGAAATTAACCGGACATCTCTGGGGGTTCTACTGAGCCTGCCCACGAGGATGCCCGGTAGGGCCGATTGTGACTTGGTTTTTGTGACATTGACATCGGGATGGATCCCCCCAGTTCCATTACACGGGCCACCAAACAGCTGTCAGATGGGAACGGCTGTCGGTCACTGCCTGCTGAGCCAGGTGGTCTTCAAGTAGTGCCACAGAAGGGCTGGGGAGGGGGTCAGTTGCACTATTGTCCAGTGGAAACCAAACCAGGGTCCTTCAGATCATTTCACAAGGGAGCAGAGCTGGTCTCGAGCCTGTGTCCGTGGAGCACTTAGGGTGTTGGTCACTTTGCTGACCGGCTTCACTGGATCTTGTTGGGTTTTTACTTTTTACAGCTTCCATTCAACCCTGTTGTCAAGACCATCTGGTTTCACTGTCTGAAGGAGGGGCTGGGAGAGATGGTAGGTTTCCAGCCCTGGCTGGAAATGAAAGTCCAGGGATGGCTGGCTCAGAATGAAGTTCTACAGATTGTGTTTAACAGGGCCTTAAATTGCATCCATTTACCACACGTTTTCAGAATGAATTGACTCCAGTAAAAGTTGTCTATCGAATGTCGCTATCTCAGACCTCGGTTCGCCAGCGCAGGAGAGGAAAGTATTGAACTAGTGGGGGAGACCATTTGTAAGCTATAAATTGTAATGTCTCCCCCATAAACAGGCCTGTTTCCTTAACACCAGCTAATAGAATGAGGAGTCCACTAAGGCTGAGAGCTAGAGACAACACTGCCCTTCACTCCGCTCGCGCTGGCTCTGGCTGCCAGAACGGCCTCGGCCCGTGAACTGGAGAAATAACAATAAACAGCAGCTTGGCACCTGCGGTGAAAGTTTCTCACAGTCTTTGCTAGAGGAACCTGAGCTGGTTTAGCAGGAGGAGGGGCCGAGCTCTGGGACAGGGAGATGCTCCGAGGGAGCATGGCCAGATTTGAGACCCACGTGCGTTTACAGCCTTCCCATGGTGTGGCAAATCCTCTAGCTTTTGTCTAGCTGCATTTGCTTTGGAAACAAGCTGCCACTCGCCTTGTGAAATCGGAGCCCTAGTGCTGCCGACCCTACGAAAATAGCATGTTGAGCTCCCCTTGCTGCCTTTCCACGAGCGGCTACTGTGACCCCTGCTCCCAGGTCTGGCCTGACATCCGGCAGGTCGTGTGCTGCTAACCCGGGGTCAGCATGAACGTCCTTCTGGCATTTCGACTGCATCCTGGAGGAAATCTTTTCTCAGCTTCAGCCATCAGGGCAAGGTTGTGGCTTAGGCAAAGTTTTCAGACCATGTAACATCTGCAAACTGCCAGCTTCGTCTAGTGCAGTGGGCTCTCAACCTTTTCATATGACTGTCCCCCTTTCCGGAGTCTGATTTTTCTTGTGTACTCCCGAGTTTCATCTCACTTAAAACCTACTTGCTTACAAAATCAGACATAAAAATACAGAAGTATCACAGCACACAGTGACTGAAGAAGGGCTGACGTTCTCATTTTGTCTGTGTGAAATGTTAGTTTGTACTGACTCCGCTAGTGCTTTTTCTGTAGCCGTTGTAAAAGTAGGCAACTATCTAGATGAGTTGCTGTACCCCCAGGAAGACCTTTGCATACCCCCTGAGCTATGCAGCCCCCTGGTCTAGGGCGACGCACCTGCATTGCAGGGAATGTGCAAGGGGAGGCTAGGCAGTTAAAAGTGACCTGCTTTGTCCCCTTTCTTGGTGCTTTATGATGCAGAAAAGCCTGAAAGATTTTTTGCCCTACCTCAGTCTCTCTCTTGTATTTTGCCCTAGAAATACCCAGAGTTTTGTTCCCTTTTCTGGTTGTGTTTAAACACGAGGGGCCCATCGTACACTGCCAGTGATGCCGAAAGTGCTGTCTGGTGCAGGAGCGCCCTGGAGCTCGGTGCTCTGGCACACACCATGACATTGCCAGGGCCCCGACCTTGGTGCTGGAGATTCCTGGTCCCCTTGGTGCAGGAATGCAGCACAAGCCAAGGCAGGCTGGTCTGGAGTTGTAACCATGGTGCCGGGTACGTGCAGAGGGGAATACAGACCTAACCCCTGTTTCGCTTCCCTCCTTGGCAGTGACTGTGGCTCCCAGCGAACAGAACCCTATCATCATCATCGTGGTGGTTGCAATCGCTGGGCTGATCGTGCTGGTTTCCATGGTGATTGGTGTGATGATCTGGAGGAGGTGAGCAGACTTCGCACCTCTTCTATTGTGCATATGGCAATAGACCAAGGATTTCTGGGGGCGGCTTGCTGGCTTGGTGTAGCTAATGCTTCTAATGCTGCAGCTGGGGTTCGGGGGACACTGGGAAAGAGACAGGTCTCTGTAACAGCCAAGTTCTGCCCTGTGAGCTGTGTGTTTGGCTGCCTTAGGGTCAAATCCATTCATCGAGAGGGCCAGCACACGGCCTAGAGCTGTGAATGTCACCTTCCTGTTCCAGGCTGGGAATAGTTGGTGTTTGTGCCAGGGGATCAAATGGGGTTACAGGGTTTGGTAGCTGAAAAATGCTTTGGCAACTGACGTGTGACTCTGCCCATGGCCAGGAGCGGCTGGTGGCACTCAGAGCTCCCCCAGGGACAAGCTGTCCTGAGTCTGACATGGTCCAGGCTGTGCTGTTGTCACACAAGTGAGTCACTTTCCCGAGGCTAGAGGGTTTTGTGGAACAGACGGTGGGAAAAGCTTAACCTGAGCTGTGTGTCTGCAGCCATTGTGGTGCTCGGCGAGCTAGTGATGTGACTGTGAAAATGGGCCTGGGTGGGGGGAATCTGGGAGAATTTGTTGGCTCCAGTTAACAACTAAACCCCCAGGATTCTCTGCACTGTTTGCAATGTGGCCACCACGCTGGCCAACTGGAGGCCTTCAGAGAGAGCACAAGAGTCTCTGCACTCCCGGCCGTGTCTTGGAATTGTACCAGACTCGCAGCCTCTGTGGTTCGGGGCGGGTCACACTGGGACATCTCCAAACAGTGTGAAACTCTTCACTTTTCCAACTGGTAAATCAAGGATAGAAATTCCCTGAAGTTAGTTTAGCATTTTTAAAATCTGTATTTCTGTTAATCTTCCTAATCTGGGGCTTTTCTAAGGCTCAAGTTTTTGCTTTGGCTGGGTCTAGCTGTGGAGTTTAAGGACGGGTGAAACCCAGACAGCCGGAGTTCCGAACTGCATGGGGAAGTATATAAAGCAGATAATTGTGCTGTCTTTAGAGCCACTTGCTCCGATCGCCATTCCTCCGGCCAGGGCTGCTGGGACAAGGGAAATGGTTCAGAGGGGCATCGGTATTCATCTGACAGATGGGTCAGTGAAACGATCTGTACTTTTTAACTTAAAAGATTAAATTGAACCCAAAATGAGAGTAATTTAAATAAATAGAAAAATAAAAAATGACAAGGGAAGACTCGAATGTTGTGTAACGACAGGGCTGGGGTGGGAGCAGGCCACTGTCACTTGCTTCACCGCGGGAATCCCAGGTCCCTGTGCCCCTTGTCGGAGCGGCCGGGCGGGGGGGAGGGGGCGACTCCAGAGTGGCAGGCCGACCTCCCGTGCACAGAATGCCTGAGCTCTGAGAGCCAGGCTCACGCAGGCAGCGAGAGTTCACTCAGCTCCCCCCAGCGGCCGTTTCCCCTGAATGCCCTGGGGTGGCAGAGGAGCAGCTCCAAGGGAGGTCTCCTTTGTTTAGAGTTGCACAGCTTGCATGTGCAGGCAGCCCTGGTGCAAGGCTCTGGGTCCCTGCTTTAGAGCTGGGGAAGTTCCTTCCTCCCTCTGGCTGGCGTGGCGCTGGTGTCAGTGGGGGGCTGAGCTGGGAGGTTGCCGGAGGAGCAGCAGGGCGTGGTGTTGGCTTTGCTTTTAGTTTATTAACCAAATGGCATCTGGGGCAGCCTCACGCTCTGGCTCGGTCCTCACTGGGCCCTGCTCCCTCTGACACCAGCAGGACTTTGCCACTGCCCGCGGCCCAGGGAGCACAGCTCTGGCCTGGGCAGCAGGGCGGGGTTAGGCTGATGACTGGCAGCCCACAGGCGCGCAGCAGAGCAGGCTTTGCGTCTATGCTAATAGGAGTCCCTGAAGGTCAGAGCAGGGATCTGACTGTCGCACTGCTGGTGCCACGTCTGAAATCCTGGTGAGTTCGTTGCTTGCCGCACTGGAGCGAGTCCGTCCATCCCATGGCGTTTGACTAGCATCTTTGTCAGGCTGAGATTACAGGGGTGTGGACACGCGAGCAAATATCCTGCCTGCAGCAGGGCTTATCTGCACCTGTCACAGGATGTGGACATCTGAGTTATGCACATGACTGAGCTAGCAAATGCTCTTGTGTGCCAGGCGTCCGGTGCCCATTGGCTCAAGGAGACCAGTGAGCTCTTAGTGTGGGCTGGAAATGACCTGGAGACGCTGCTCTGTCATTATCCCTGGGAGTTCGGCACTTGCCTTCGTGTTGCGGCTCCAGATTTGACCTGCCCTTTGTTGGTTTCCACCCCAGCCCCGGATCAGTCGGTGCCCACCCTGTATGGTTTGCCCCCGTCATTTGCTCGTCTGCTGTGCTGTAACCCCTACGCTCTTCCACGCCCACCGCTGAAGCTGCAACTCCACATCCAGTCCCTGTCTCAGCAATTCTCTCTTGCTGGGGTTGGGATCACAGAGACCACAGTGGTTAAGCGTACAGGTTTGCTTGACCCTGGCCTCTGGCTCCTGGTGCTGGTGTATTCTGGGGGGTTGGACAGCTCTCTTGGGCACTGGCATTTGGGGCTTTGTATCCAGTGGGAGATTCACGCTCAAGGCCTAACGTGACTATTGCATCTCATTGCAGACAGTGTGGGTACAGCAAAGCCAGCCAGGACGGAGACGAGGAGCTGTACTTCCATTGTAAGTGACGTCTGGCCACTGTGCTGTGTCTGATTGCGTGGGGAGCTCTGCATTTACTGTCATTAACAACCCTGCTCTCTGCAGAGCAGCCCGGAATCCTTCCTTTTGAAGTGCTGTCATCCCGTGTTAGCCCAGAGAAGGCCAGCTCAGCACAGCAAGGCTCTCCGGAGACAGCTGGCTTGACAGCTTCATAAGCCAGTGGCCGTCCTTCCTGCGCACAGAGCACTGGCTGCTCAGGGAGGTCACTGGCATGCCACAGGAAATGGAGATGCTTTCAGCTTTCTCGAGGGCGTATGAATTATTCTGTCAGCTTTTCACATACAGCTACGGGAGAGCGGGGGTTTGTTTTCTGGGGCATCTCTTGATTATCAAGCAGTGATAATTTTACAGACAACAGTTGTCAAAGGAAATGCAAATGTCAGAACTGACGAGTGTATTTGATTCCTGGCATATGCCGGTTAAGCACACACCTACTCTTCTGCTCCCTGCAGCATCTGAGAGGCAGCAGAGCCTGTGCGCTTTTCAGAAAAGCCTTTGCTGCTGTCATCCGCTTTTCAGGATCCTTGATTATTGCCGAGCCACGCTCCGAAGCTTGCTGAGAGTTTTCCATACAAAGCAGCGGGAGAAGAAGGGCAGGAGCTGGGGTTTCTTAGGCTACCTGTTACTGATCTGGGTAGGGAGGGGGTTGCTCCTGGCGCCCTGATCCAGGCCTCAGGGGCCGTCACGCACAGGCAGGACACCAGAGGGGTCGCATGCGTTATATTTACTCTTTGGAATTTGTGCTCAGTTGACGTGGGATTGGCCTTCGCTGCTGGTTTGGTTCCCCAGTGGGAGCACCACATGCAGCAGGCACAGCCCCCTGCCTGTTCCGAATGTGCAGAAACTCAGCCAGTCTTTGGGTTGAGCAAGGCAAACCTCCCAGGTCAGGGCACCCAGTGCTGTTGTGTTGGGAGCAGAGGCCCCAGGAGCAGCAGAGCCAACATGCTCCCGTCTTTGTTATTTGTTCTGGGAATTTAAAATGAAGGTTTACAGGAACCCCGCGAGTGGCTGCTACGGTCCCCACCCGCGCTGTGCAATGCTCTTTGTAACTGGGTCGCTCTCGCTGGACTTCGTTCTCCTGGGCTCGGTCCAGGCAGCGTCAGTTGCCATTTAGCAGATGATAGCGGCCTGTGGGGGAGGCTTTGCAATCCATGCGCTGATCATCGGGGCCTGGAGCAGCACGTGGTTCTAATTATCCCTGCTGGGGGGCTTGGACACCGAGGCTGGCCAGGTAGGGAAGGGTTAACCTGGGAGGCGGATCTGCTCAGTCTCGGAGGGGCTGTGTCCCTGTTGGAACTGGTCTGGGTGAGAATGAGCAGGGGGAACGGTTCCTTTTCTCCCTGTAGGAACTTGGTAGCAAACGGACAGAGCCAAGTTTCTCAGCGGTTTTAGTCCCAAGAGGCAGGAGGTTCCTGCCGAGGCAGATCAGGGGAAAGGCAGCACGTTGGCTCCATCCGTCCTGATGCTGGAAGCAAAGCTCCTTCTGCGTCCAGGCCCGGAGAGAGCACTCCCAGGCATGTCCTAATGGCAGTTCTGACCAGCCCCCCCCCAGAGCAAACCTGATCTACAGCCGGAGTTGGCTGTATCTCTAGAGGTGGTCTGGGGCTAAGCAATGAGGAGAGGCGCTCTGTCTACCGGAGCAGTGATACCGCTGGTGGTTCAGAATCGTACTGTGTCAATATGCCTGTAGCCTGAGTGGATAGCGTGTCCTGGGGAATGGAGGCCTGGTCCCTGGTCTGACTGATTGTTTCCATAGACGACAGGAACCGCTGCCTGCCTCACTTCATTTCGTTTCATGAACAGTGTACAGAGAGGAGAGGACAGTCTATTTGCCAAATGTAGTTTGGGGTTGTGAGATAAAGAGCAGAGCCTTGCAAAGATCTCCCCAGTGCGGGAGGGCTGGGAGCAGCGGAGCATATTGTAGATTGCAGAGCCGCGTGTTCTTTTCCAAATTACCTGGCTCCGCAGACAGGAGAGCGGCTCCACGAGAGGCCCCAGGCGGCACAGCGAGAGGATACAGGTTTGTAGGGTTTTAGGGAAGTTATTGTTAGACTTCGTTAAGCTGAAGAGCTAATTACCTGTTTAACAGCAATGTTTTTTAGTTACATTAAATTCAGATGGATGCTGTTGCTCCAGTGCTGAGTCCAGCTCCTGCTGCTGCGTCCTGGCGCTCTGGGTGCTACAGAATCTTGGGTTTTTCTGTATTTACGTGGAGCCTTCGTGCTCAGCTGAGATGTGAACGCTAGCTCTGGGGCGACTGTGACCGGCTTTCTCCGAGCTGCTGTCTCAGATCCTAAAAAGGGGACACGGTGTCCGAAAGGAAATCTCTGGGTATGGATTAGCTGCTGCAGGGCCCCTCAGTGTGGGCCCAATTCGTGTCCTGAGCCCCAAAGCGCCGTTAAAAGCCCGGGGAGCAAAGAGCAGCAGCTGGAATAGGTTGGGCTGGAGACAGCGAGGGGAATGCAGCCTGGAGGAGGTTTCCAGGGCTGGCAGGTAAAGAGAGGGGCAGAGCTCCTGCCGGTTCGCACTCTGCTGCCTTTCGCTCAGTGGGGTCCCGGCTGGGCAGAGCTTCGCGGAGGTGACGCAGGGTTTTCTTCTCACACACTCTGTTTATTCCCCCTCTTTGCTGTAGTTAAGATACCAACCAGGAGGACGTACATTGACCCTGACACCTGTGAAGACCCCACGCAGGCCGTGCACCTCTTTGCCAAAGAGCTCGACAACTCGAGTATCAAAATCGAGCGGATCATTGGAACAGGCAAGTATCTGTTCGAGACGCTGCAGCATGGCTCCCGGTGCGCTCTGCAGAGAGGCGTTCCTGCCGGGCCGAGGACGCCTGTGCCACAGGGACACAGCGATCAATCTGAAGAGGAGACCGTGTCCTCAGCCCATCGGACGGGCGTTGGGTTGGATTTACAGCCTCCTCTTTCACCCCAAAGGGTTAATTCCCAGCAGGGTTCCCAGGGCTCCAGGCTGCAATCCAAGGCTGAGGCAGGATTTCCAGGTGGAGCAGATCACAGCCTACCTCCCAGCTCAGTCCTTCCCCAGCCTCTGCCCTGGAGCCCGGCAAGTGCTGCTGGCGCCTGTCCTCAGGACCCCAGCTAGGAGCTAGTGGGAGCGCAGTGAGAGCTGCCCCCAGCTAGGAGCCAGTGGGAGCGCAGTGAGAGCTGCCCCCAGCTAGGAGCCAGTGGGAGCGCAGTGAGAGCTCACTACCCCCTGGCAGGTGCTGCAGGCCTGCGTTCCGAGTGACATCACTCACCTCCCAAAAACCCTTCCGCACTTCCAGGTGAGGGAGTGGGGCCCAGTCTGTGTAATCCCCAGCCTCTGTCTGGCCTCGCGGTTTGCTGGGCACAGAGCCCTGGTGCAGCTCTTGCATTAGCGGGGACTTAAGCAAAACTGTAAATCCATTTTGGGAGCAGTACGTTGCGTCAGCAGCCAAGAGTTTTCTGTTTTCAAAAGCAGACGTGTGTGTCCGACTGGCTGAGCTGTCAGGATGCTGTCTGGCCCCCTCCTAGGGAGCCAGCAGGGCGGAGAGTATGAAACAGACACAAAAACTCAGCCATATCTGAGACCTGTTCCCTCCTGGGACTAGAGTTTCTCCTGCTGACTGCGTGGGACAAGAGACAGAGAATTATTACTATTTTGACTTGCAAACACTTCAGAGGTGCTCAGACGCTACAGGCATGGGGCTGTATAAGCACCTGAAAGGAGAGATCAAATGTCACTCGAGCCTTTTCTAGATGATAAACTGACCCTCCAAACCCTTGTATCTCAACTGCCTGCAGGGACGCGGGGAGGCTGTGGATGTTACTGGAGTGTGCAGAAAAGGCCGGCCCTGGCAGAGGTGTGGATCTGGGTCTGGGTCACAAGTCTGACTCTTGGCATTCAGAGTTGCATCGGGTCGTTGTTCCGTGCAGCTGTAAGGGGCTGGCTCCAGAAGTGCTGCTTCTCCATCGAATGCAGCTCAGGAGATGTAGACAAGTCCCTTGTGAATAGGCTCCTGTCAGAAATCAGCAGTGGGGCACGGGGACCTGCTTAAACAAGCTTTTCACCCAGACCTTTTCCCTGCAAATGTGTTCCAAGGTGCTCCTCCCCCACCCAGGAGACTGAGCCCTATCAACCTGTTCAGAGCGCTACATAGCTGAAATCGACCGCAGCCCCTGGCTCCTGGCTCTGTAAGGTGATGACTCCTTGCATCATTGCCGGTGTATAAATACAGCCCTCGGTTTTCTTTCCATGGTGAGCTTTCTGCGGGAGCTGCCATGGAAACAGCTAGGAAACAGATACCTGGGACTGACCGGGGTGGAGAGTTGAACTGTGCCACGCACTTGGATGGTGGTCATGGCAGGATCTCGCCAGCTGTAACGAAGGGCTGCAAGTGTAAACACCTCACTTCCCCCATAGCCCTCGCTGCCTTGTCTCACGTGACCCCTCGCTGAGTTCTGGGGAATGAGGAGAAATGCAAGAACTCACAGTGCATCCCACTGGGGCTCTGGATTGTTCCACTCCGCTCCTCCTGCTGGAGAGGAGGCTCTCGCCTGAGACAGGCCTGGGAGGAAGGTGGAGAGTGGCGCCCTCGGAGGAGAACTGAGTCCCAGTCTGCAGCAGCGTCAAACCCGTCAGTGATTGTAAAGGAAGAAGGCACAGCCGGGGTGGAGGCACAAGATCCCTGGGAACGACTAAAAAGATTGTGACTTTCACCTGCTTCCTTGAAACCAAGAGGACAAGGGCCGCGGTGCCTGTGAATTGCTGCTCTGTGCACTGAGGGGACCGCAGCAGGTACAGGGTAGGAATGAATCTCAGCAGCCCATTGTTACCTGCTCGGCTCGTTCTAGGATTCTGGGAGCCTCGTCAGGGTTCTTAAAGCCATTTACATATTTCCTGCTACCAGCTTCATTAGGGATTTTCAATCTCATTGTGGTCCTGGCCAGTTTTGTATGCTCGTAGCAGGGAGACGCAGAGTGTGGTTGGTTAGTATTTTGTACATGAGCTTGATTTAGTGTCCCTGTTTATTTTCCTCAGGCAGAGCATACAGTGATGTGACCAGCATCTCATAGAGAACGTCGGCAATTATCTGCTTCTTAGCAGGTTGACAGCGGCATAAAAACTATTTATGAATATGCTAACTCTCAATGATTTATTGATTTTCATCGACTTTACGGCCTAAACCGTCAACGCAGATTAAAATCCCTGCAGTTTTAATTGCTAATGCAAGCCAGATCTGTGGAGGCCCTGGTATGCTGGGTGTCATTTTCCCAAAGAGACGCTCTTTAAAAACAAAAACGACAGAGGCAGGGGAGTACCGGTAGCTTAAATATTAACATGGAAATAAAAGGTGATTGTCGGAAAGTGGAGATCAGAGGAATCTGGGCAGAGAAACTGGCCCGGTGATTCTGAACTTTGAGCACTAGATAAGTAATGAAAAGGCAATCCAAGTAGGGTGGGTCTTTTAAATAGGAGGAATGTAGAATAGTTTGTATTAGTCTCCCGGGTGACCTAGCGGATACCTGTCTCTCAGATCAATAAAGCTCTTCATATCTATTGGCTTTTCCCTGTAAAACCAAAGTTGGCCTTTTCTCATTCGAATTTGTCACTTTGTGCTGCCACGTTGGTGACTGCGAGGAGCAGAAAGTTCTGTCTCAAGTGCTGATGAACAATGCGTGGCCCTGACTATACTTTGGGTGGGCAGCAGATTTGGGATGGTTTGGGAGTGGAGAGAGTCGGAGCCCAGTGAGGACTGTCTTGATCTCTGGGAGATAATCTTTCATTCACGGAAAGCACTTCAAAAGTGCAGTGTGGACTTAGCTGGTGTATTAGGGGAATGGTCTAAGCAGCCAAAGAGAGGAAATTGCATCATGTGTTATTGCACCTGCTAGTTGGCACTAAAGAGTTTCAAGGTCTGTGTGTTCACAGCAAGTCACGATGCCTCCCAGAAGTGGGGGAAGATGGTAAACTGAGGCTAGGGTGAGAATTTTTAAAGGGACCTTAATCCACTTTCCTGTTTTGTGGGTGGATGTTTCCCCTGAGCGTTTCTGGCTGTACAGTTCCCTGCTATGTCAGAGCAGAGCCCATCTGCCTGATTAGCCAGGTACTCAGACCCCGGCTGCCCACACCCCGGCACCCAGATCACAGTGTTTGCAGGTCCAGAGGCAGAGGTCCTGCTAGGGGATGTGGGGCACAAGGAAACGCTACCAGAAGGGAGCTGATTTTCTAGAAGAGAGGCACTGCCCCTTGTCCCATTGCGCAGCAGCAGATCTGGGCAGCGATATTTGAAGATTTGAGAAAGCCATAAATAAAATCAGCGTAGCAATAGCTCCCGTTTTCATGGCCTGTGAGGGACCGAGAGCAGCTAGCACAGCTCCTAGAACGACAGTCCCGTGCGGCGTTCTCTTGGGATGTTCACTCTCTCAAGCGTCCAACCACAGGGACGCTAAACGGCTGCGCTCCTTTAGCTGGAAACGCTCTAATTCCCGTCTCTCCTACGGCACAGGAGAGTTTGGAGAAGTCTGCCGGGGATGCTTGAAACTTCCCAGCAAGAGAGAGCTCCCGGTTGCCATCCAGACCCTTCGAGCTGGCTGCTCAGACAAGCAGAAGCGCACCTTCCTGGCAGAGGCTAGCACCATGGGCCAGTTCGATCACTCCAACATCATCCGCCTGGAGGGCGTCATCACCAGAGGTAGGGCTTATTAACTCTGCATGTCATGGTATGCAAACTCATTGGGTTTGGGGGTTTTTTAATGAAAGGGCCAATTAATCTAGGACGACACTCGCCAAACCCATTGTGACTAGATCCTAGAGCTAGATCTGAATTCAGTCCTCCTGCACGGAAAGCCTCATGCACTAGGTTCACTCGCCCCTGCCTCCACCCCCTCACTTTCAGCTTGGAAAGTTTTGGATTCCTGTTCCCTCTCTCGGAGAGAGGGCTGAACCCCAGAATACTGGCAGCTTTGTGCTGCGTTGTGGTGGCTTCACTCACTATCCGTGCAGTTTTAACAGTGTGCGATTCTCAGAGCGAAGGCAAAAACATACAGTGAATGGTCACACAGTCCCTTCATCCAGGGCACCCGAAGCCCTCCACAAAGGCAGGTGTGTGTTGCCATGGGGAAACTGAGGCATGGGGAGGGGCGAGGACTAGAAAACACTGACTGTGCCTACTCTAGACTTTTCTGCCAGCTGTTTCCAAACACACTAGCACCAGTTGATCACCACTGTGGTAGCAATGCTGGGAGCGCTTGGCTGCTGACTTGTATCCCCTGCTCAGAGTAGGCCTGCATGACGTGGTGGTGAGAATGCCGGTGCCTACAGCTAATGGTAATAACAACAGGAAAAGTTGAGGACAAAATAGAGCCACAGACCAGGAGTCTGGCAGAGCTACAATGCCCAGGCTCCGGGTCGCCGGCTGCGGAATCACTACATGGAGATGTTCCGGACCAGAGAGACGTGCGTTATGTGATGAGACTTTATGCTCAACGCACATACGGGACGGCTGTAAAAACACCCTAGCCACACACAGCAATAACAACATGCTTGCTTCAGGTTAGGACACAATTCCAAGTCCTGTGTAACTCAGAGCGTTTATGGGCTGATAACGATGCAAGTTGGGCAGCGTAAGGGGGATATGCACAGACAGCCGCTCTGCGATTGCATGGCACTTACTCTGATCGATAGATACAAAGTGATTCCAGCATTGTTACACGCTTATTAGTGCCCAGCAAAATGAAGCGATACGCTCCCTGATCTGATTTTTGTGGCAACAATGCGGCCTCGTTTACTTGGTAATTTAAAAGCAATAGAAAGCAATTGTCCTGTGGAAAAGCAGGAAGAATGCTGATTGTTTTCTTAATTACCCACCATGGAGTTTGGGTCATTAATGCAAGAGTCTCGCCTTTGAACTAATCTGGTAATATGCTCGAGCAGTTGTTTAGCAATGTGATTATCTGGTGGTGGAGATGCTGTACAGTTGCCCTCTGGAAGCCAAATGTTTGCTTGTGTTGGTTTTTATTATTTTATGGTTCTGATGCTGTTTAATCGAATTTTTACAGCTAGATTAATAAAGCCAGGGAGTCAAACTGGGTTAGCAGCAAAACCCAACTCTTGGCATAAAAGCAAATTAAAATGAGAGTTTTGTCAGCAAACAGATGAGTGTGTGGTTGCTGTCTTTCCCTGTGGGAGTGTGTGTTCTTTATGAATCTGAGGAAGGTGTGGTTAAATATGGAGAAACATGAACACGCATGTTGTTAACTGTGCTATTTATAACATGGGGGATCAGCTTCTGTTTTAACATAGGGCCCAATCCAGCTACCCTCACTCGCATACTTTTCTCCTCGATGGTGCTACTCAAAGTGTTCCTAGCGAAGTCCTCCCCAAATCAAGAGCAGGGCCCCTTATGCTGACTGCATTCCTCAGGGTGAGATCCATGTCTCCCTCTGAGACGCCAATCTTGCGCTTGGATCCATGCAGGCAGAGCAAACTGCAGGATTGGGGTCGAAGGAATGAGAGAATCAGGCCCTTAGAGTTTAAGCCGCTTGTGTGCAATACAGATGCACAAAAATCCATCCTCTGACGGTCAAATGCTTAAGTACCTCTAATTATATCCATTCCATTTCCTCCCTTTTACTAATTTCTTCTTCAAAATACGACGTGTGTGCTTGCTTTGTGGGTGTGTGAATTATGCCATTTAGATGAACAGCTCCACCATTGATAGTTAGGTAATCAGAAACACTAATTAGTTGCTTTCATTTATATGTTTGTGATAGAGAATTGCAAGTCTCTCCCCCTGAGCAAACGCACCCTCCTCCCTGTTAATGGCCCTTTTTCTGTGTCGTTCCCTCCTTTTCTGTTTGGCAGATGTGATCTTGTTTCAAAATAAATGAATCCTCTAGCTGTGACTCTGGAGACATCTCAGGGTCTGATAGCCTCAAAAACCCACATGAGCTTTGTGTTCCCATCATTCCCACAGCTACTTGATATTCATGAAGCATTTCACCATATAGGAATTGTATAGTAAGCCATACTTTTGAAAGCCCTAATTCACTCTTCTCATAGCAGAAAGATGAGGTCTGTGGATGTGAAATCTGAAGGGTGGCTGGGAGCTTGTTGAAAGGGGGAAAAGAAATGTGTTTGTGCTTTTTTCAGCTGCCTGATGATACTGGAAGGAGGCCGGGATTATTGCTATTTATTTATTTTAAGGTTTCTTTTTCTGCTTTTTTACCTGAGAAATATCAGGAGTATGAGGTCATGTCTGTCTTGTTTTTTGGAGGTCCCACTGCAGCAGTGGTTCTCAACCAGGGGTACACAGAGGTCTTCCAGGGGGAACATCAGCTCATCTAGATATTTGCCTAGTTTTACAACAGGCTGCATAAAAAGCACTAGCGAAGTCAGTACAAACTAAAATTTCATACAGACAATGACTTGTTTATACTACTCTATATACTATACACTGAAATGTAAGTGCAATATTTATATTCCAGTCAACTTATTTTATAATTGTATGGTAAAATGAGAAAGCCAGCAATTTTTCAGTAATAGTGTACTGGGACACTTTGTATTTCTATGTCTGATTTTGCAAGTAGTTTTGAAGTGAGGTGAAACTTGGGGTTCGCAAGACAAATCAGACCCTGCAAAGGGTACAGTCATCTGGAAAGGTTGAGAGCCCCTGCACTGGAGGAGCTAGAGACCTGAAGCAGGACCTTTCATAAATTTGTAGAGTTTATAACCAAAAGGGACCATTCCATCATCTAGTCTGACATGCTATATATCACAGGCCAGTAAATTTCACTCAGTTGTCCCTGTACTGATCTGGATAACTTCCAGAAAGGCATCTAGTCTTGAGCTGGAGATAAAAGAGGGAGAAGCCACCACTTCTCTTGGTAGTTTGTTCCTATTGTTAATCACCCTCGCTGTTAAAAACATGTCTGATTCACATTAGAAATCAGTCAGCCATTGGGTCTTGTTCTGCCTTCCTCCACTAGATGAAAGATTCCTTCAGTGCCTATTATTTTCTCCCCTGAAGGTCCTTGTAACAGAAACCAAGTCTCTTCTCAATCATCATTTGGATAAGCTGAGATTGAGTTCTTTTAGTCTCTAACTGTCAGGCATTTTCTCCAGACCATAAATAATTTTGTGGCTCTTTTTTGCATTCTCTCCACTTTTTCAACATCCTTCTTAAAATGTGAACACCAGAAGTGGACACGCTATTCCAGTACTGATCTCACCAGCGCCATATACAGAGGTTTTTTTCTCCTGCTGATAATACCGCACCTTAATTAATTAACTTCTTACAGTTGGTGTGGCTACTTCCACCTTTTCATGTTCTCTGTATGTATACATATTTCTTACTATATGTTCCATTCTATGCATCCGATGAAGTGGGCTGTAGCCCATGAAAGCTTATGCTCAAATAAATTTGTTAGTCTCTAAGGTGCCACAAGTACGCCTGTTCTTTTTCCTGGACTTTGTTACTTAACACATTGAGTCATATGCATTCATGGTCCTGAAACTGAGTCGTCAGTCACTCTAAAACAGGTCCTGTCTATCGTATAGAGTGCTGGCCCACTCCATCCTTCCTGAGTAAGGTGTAACCAGTGATTTTAAAATTCCCCTCATGGACAGTCCGACCATTCGGGAATACCAATTTTATCAAGTTTCTTCTCATCAGGGAGAATTTCCAGTTCCTCTTTCTTGTTACCCAGATTCCCAGCATCGGTTTTTAAGCCATTGAAAATTTTCTTTTCTTCACCTTCTTTATCACATTGGTTCAAATTTTTTGCGACAAGCTAAGTTTGTGTGTGTTCTGCATTTGTCTTCTGAGCACCCTCCCCTCTGTTGCTCTGACTGCCCCAGTTCGTCTCCAGCTGAGACGATTGTAGGGATGTAGACAGTCCCTTGGCACAGCCCCTCTCCCATGGGACTGTGGCCCAATGTTCCACAAAACCAAAACCTTCAGCTTCATGCCCGGTGAGTACCCAGCAGCTCAGCTCCAGGAGTTCTCCACTTTGGCGGCAGGAGGTGGGGTTGCTGAATCTTCAAGAGAGATTTTCTCCCCATGGTTTATCAGGCATTTGAATTTGAGGTTTTTAAAAAGCTGGCTCTAAAGGGTGAGTAGAAATCCCTTCCCCAGCTCCCCTCCTTTGCTCAGGGGTCCCTTCCTTTGAATGTGGCTGCCTGACTAACTCTTTAGTTATGCACAGAGATTCCCACGACAGACAGAGCAGACGAGACCCAAATCTCTCGTGTGAAAAGCAAGCAGAAAACGATCTTTCGAGGAGCGAAGGGTTAAGGGCTGGGCTGGGCATCTTTGGGTCTGGAGGCTTTGCTGGATGTATGTATTTATATCTGTGCAGAACTGTGCTCGATAAAAACCAAGGTTAGCTAAATACTCCTTTTCTGTCTGTGCGCCCAGGAAATACCATGATGACTGTGATGGAATACATGGGGAACGGAGTGCTGGATTCGTTTCTCAGGGTGAGTGTACCTGGGTGTCGGTTACCCCCTCGGACCTTGGCTAGCAGTGCTGCCATTTTCCTAACTGAAGAGTCACAGCACGAGCTGTTTGTGTGACATGCTGAACCTCCCTGAAATGCAGCCTTCCCTACTCCTGCCTTGCAGAAACACGAGGGCCAGTTCACAGCTGCCCAGCTGACTGGTATGTTACATGGGATTGCCTCCGGCATGAAGTACCTGACCGAGATGGGTTACGTACATAAAAGCCTTGCTGCCCACAAAGTCCTTGTGAATAGCAACCTGGTTTGCAAAATATCAGGCTTCAGACAGTCCCAGGAAGATAAAATGGAGACCATCTTCACCACCATGGTAAGCTGTGGGGGACTGTCAGTGCAGGACAGTCAGCTGGGTACTCACTAACTTTGTGGGGTCATTGGAGGGGGGAGGGTTGGGTTTGAAGGTGCATGAAATGGAATGTCAGGGACAGTCACTGAGGAATACAAAGATGAGCTCCCTGGGTAACGTGGTTATTAGACTATCTCTTGTGCTTGGAAATGGACTGATATGTTAGTGCAGCGTAGAGTTTGAGAAGCAAAACTTTCTGACATAGGTTCAGAAGGCAGGAGGAATTTCCCCGTACAAAGTACAAATCATAGAGGTTCTGGAAATGTAAGAATGGAGAAACCTCCCTTCTATGGACCTGGCGGATGATAGAACCACGTTCCCTGCAAAAACCTGATAGAGAAAACAACATGTCCAGATCCCTCTGAGATGCTGAAAGCCCCTTCCACGACAGAGCCAAGGTTATGAGGCTCTTTGTGCAGGTTCTGCTGCCATCCATCAGAACAGGAGCACAGTTCTGTCATGGTAGGGAGTGTTTTCTTGCACCGCCCTGCCCCTGAGAGAGATCTAATATCTTCCCAGCAGCTGGGGTTTCGGGTTCCACTTCACAGGGTTTGTGAGAAAGTTTCCTTTAGCTTTGGCTTCTGGTACCAATGTTTCCCAAAGCAAAAAGCAAACCTTGGGCAGAATGGCCACGTTCTCATGCTGAATCTTTGCAAAACCAGATCTCTTCCGGTTTCGATGCAAAGCCACAATCAGGATAACTTAAAACTAGGCTCAGCATCGTGGAAGAGGTTTGCAGGCCTGATCTGAATGTTGAGTAGGGATCAAAATATGAAGCTAGCTGAGTTTCACAGCTCCAGTTAATACCAGATACAGCGAACCTGCTGCAAAAGCAGGATGTTTTCTGGTTGCCTGGTCTCTTCCTGATACAGTATTTGCATGTAAAAGAGTTTTCTTTTCAGCTGGAGATTAAAGTAAATGGCAGTGAAATGCGAAGGCTTTCTGCATAAACTACCTATGAATCTGAATCAGTGCAAGACAAATTCTTCCCCTCTCATTGTGTGTGTGTGTGTGTGTGTGTGTGTGTACACGTACACATGCATGCACTGGGAGTTGGAAGCAGCTCGCACAGCCTGGGGGTTAGCTGTGTGTGTTTTATCACTTCTAATGAAATTCATGGTTTTCAATTAAGAATTTAAGACCTGTCTGATTCACACACACGTGCCTATTCAGCGTTCTCAGCCAATAGGCTTCCTGAACACACACACTCAGTCATAAAGAGATGGGGCTTGAGATCCCATTACATTCCCCCAGAAACACACCCACACCCCAAACATGGCACTTGGAGGGGGGAACTGTCCTGCAGACTCTGTTAGGGAGTCAAATTACAGGTTTGGGGGAATGCCGCACACTTTCCCACGAGCACATCTTCAGCATGGCAAGATAGCGCTGCTCTCATTAATTCGCTCACAGTCCAATTTAGAGCATTTCACTTGCCAGTGAAGAAATCAATGTACAGTATTTTTAACTGAAAAGCAATAAAAAAATGTTTAATTTGATGTCCCACAGCCAGCATACGTGAGCCAACACCATTATATCATCCCATTAACCACGGCATTCGTATTTAAAAACGACAATGGATTCTTCACTCCAAAGAACACGTACTGTCCCAGGCAGTATTCTGGTAGCACAAAGTGTGTCAGCAGCCAGCCCTTGAGACCGGGGGTGTGACTCTCCCTGCCTTGCTGGCCTGCGCGGGGAACTGCTGACGCTCACCAGCTCTGGCGAGCCTGGCACTTAACGACCTCGGTTAGTCTGAGTGTCTGATGCTGGTGGAGTGTTCGGCACGTCCCCCCAACCTGATCGAGGGTCAGGCCAGGGGAGAGCCTGACTTGGAGTCTCTGTGGAATTGGAGGGGAAAGCATGTCACTCGGAGCTATAGCTGAGACTCTGAGTCCCAAATGTTATGGATGGAAACCTCGTTGGCGCTAACGAGAGACTGGGGGCCGGATATGCCCCAGCTGAGGAAAGGCTGGAGAGATCTGCGGAAGCGCCAGGGTCCCCTCTCTCTAACAAGCAGGGTGTGTGACTGCCGAAGTCCATCTCTGTCCCTAGCAGGTAATTAGTATTCACCGAGAGGAGCCCAGTGCCTGCTGTCCCACGTGCAGCCAGAAGGGTTCTGCAGACGCTGCAGAGGCATTTGCTAGTTACAAGGGAGGTGAGGTGGGGGGGAGTGGCGGTGTGTTTACCGGGTTCGGAGGGTGGTTTTGTTCAATATTAATGGATAAAATGCCATCAGCTCCTTCGGGAGACTGTACCTCCCACATTAATGTTTCAGGCCTTGCCCTGCCCTGCAGACTAGCACTGGGGCTTGGTCCATTGTTAAAGAATTTGGTGCAGAGTTTTCCCCTCCCATTAAAACTGCACATGGTGCCAAGGTCTGTGTCACTAACTGCTCCACAACACAGGTTGGACGCATGCCGATCGGAGGCATTAGTGAGCCTGTGTGAACGTGTCCCTCGTCCTGCTGTGGAGATCCTCATGTCTTCCTTTCTTCTGCCTGGCCAGAGTGGGAAGAGCTTGGTGCTGTGGTCAGCCCCCGAAGCCATCCAGTACCGTCGCTTCAGTTCTGCCAGTGACGTGTGGAGCTTTGGCATCGTGATGTGGGAGGTGATGTCTTACGGGGAGAGACCCTACTGGGACATGTCCAACCAGGACGTGAGTTGCTTTGCATCCACCTTACTCTGACCCTACGGAGAGATCATGTTTCAATGACGGGCATTCGGGAATTGCAAGACATGCATGTCGCTTGAGTGGCTCTGTATTTGCATCTTGGGTTAACGTGGGGCAGGGAGACATTTGTCATATTTTTGGCCTATAAGAGCAGAGCTATGCAAATAACCCAAAAAGTTTAAAACAATTGTTTCGGGTTAAACTAGGGTTACCATCCGTCCGGGTTTCCCCGGACGTGTCCGGCTTTTTCAGCTTTAAATGGCCGTCCGGGTGGGATTTCTAATAAAGTAGAAATGTCCGGGATTTCCCTCTTCCCCTCATGCAGAGTGTGGCGCGGCTGATTGGATGGCTGGGCCTGATTGAAAGCCGCTCGCAGCCACTGGGGCCTCTAGCAGCCAGAGTCCCTCCCCCTCCCCTGCTCCCTCCTCCCCCACAGAGCAGTGTCCCAGTGTTTGGCTGCACGTGGAGCTCGCAGCTCTCCCTCGGCCTGGGGGGGAGGGGCGCGCAAGGGACAGGGAACGGGGTGGGTTAGATTGGTCGGGGGTTCTGGGGGGGGCTGTCAGGAGAAGGGGGTGTAGAGAGTGGTTGGGGCAGGTAAGGGACAGGGAACGGGGGGGGTTAGATTGGTCGGGGGTTCTGGGGGGGCTGTTGGGAGAAGGGGGTGTAGAGAGCGGTTGGGGCAGGTAAGGGACAGGGAACGGGGGTTAGATTGGTCGGGGGTTCTGGGGGAGCTGTCAGAAGAAGGGGGTGTAGAGAGTGGTTGGGGCAGGCAAGGGACAGGGAGCAGGGAGACTTAGATAGGGGGTAGGTCCTGGGGGCAGTTAGGGTGGGGGGGGTCTCAGGACAGGGCAGTCAGGGGACAGGTAGGGGAATTCTGAGGGGGGCGGAAAGTGGAAGGGGGCGGGACTAGGGCGGCACCCCGTGTCTTCTTTTTTGATTGTTTAAATATGGTAACCCTAGGTTAAACAAGACGTTTCTCTTCAGCCTGAAACAAAACTTTTCATTTACTTTTTGACTTTGATTACCCTTTAAAAAAAATTAATGACATGGAAAGAAATTTTGAAACAAAATAAATAATTTTGAATCAATAGATTTTGTTTTAAAATTTTCAAAACAAAACCTTTTGATTTTTTCAGGGGGGTTTTTCCAAACAATTTGGCAATTTCAACATGAATTCACTAAATGTTTCAGTTGACCCAAATCGGCAATTTGTGGTGAAAAATGTTTCCTCTGAATAATTTGGCTCGGCTCTCTCAAAGCAATGGGAATGTCGCACTCCAGCAGCGCTGACAGACAGGGACTTCTCTGCTGCTCTTCAGTGACTCCTTTGTATAGCTCTCTTCTCTTCCTGCCCCGTGTGGGATTTCAGGTGATAAAGGCCATCGAGGATGGGTTCCGGCTGCCTCCCCCGATGAATTGCCAGCCCCCGCTTCACCAGCTCATGCTGGATTGTTGGCAGAAGGAGCGAAATGAGAGGCCCAAGTTCTCACACATCCACAATATCCTAAGCAAGATGCTTCAAAACCCAGAGCCACTGAAATGTACCACCTCCACTTGCACCAGGTGAAAATCTGCCTGTATCACCAATCTTTCTCTTTAATTCTAGAATGCCGGAGCGTTCGCCTCCGTATGTATCCCATGGGCCACACCACACGGCTCACTCCTGGGTGACACCAGATGCTGAAGCAAATCCAGAGCCACTCCATCTAAATCATGGCAGCCATTCCCAGACGGGCGCTGCTGTAACTGAGATCAGGATTGGGCCCTCTGAGTGCAGTCTGCCTCATGGGATCTGGCTGGATTGAGGGATTCCTGGTCAGTTGAAGCTGAGTTCACAGACTGCTGTGTGGATCTCACGGGGCTGACACCAGCAATATGGACCTGCCAAGGCTTGGGTCCAGCACGGTGCCTAGGGGTATGTCTACATTGCAATTGGACCCCCAGGCCTGGCCTGGGCCAGCTGACTTGGGCTAACGGGCTGTTTAATTGTGGTGCAGACATTTGGTGGCTTGGGCTGCAGTCTGGGCTCTGGGACCCTCCCACCTCGCAGGGTCCTGGAGCCAGGGCTGCAGCCTGAACATCTACAGCGCAATTAAACAGCCCCTTAGCCCAAGCCAGCTGGCACCGGCCAGCGGAGGGGTTTAGCTGCCGTGTAGCCAGACCCTTGGAGAGCGACAGCCCCAGTTCTACCCTCCCGCTCCTGTGGGAACACAGAACCAGTACAACCTCTCTGCACAGGGTGGGTGGCAGGGCCCCGAAGGCATCTGTCCCCCCACTCTCCATCGATCTGTGCGGCGCCCTGCGTGCCAGCGCAGAGAGAGGTATCACGGGAAGTGGGATCCAGGAGATGCACTCTGGCCCTGCCCTCGTTGTTTGATGTTTTCTCCCACGCTGCCTCTGCTGCAGAGCCAAACCTCTCCCCACCTCTCTGCCTCCAGCTAATGCAGCACTGACAGGTCAGACACACTCTCTCCTCAGCCCCCGCGGGTGGGTCTGGGAGCTCTGGCTGGAGGAGGATTCAGCAACTGAAGTTGATTAGAAGCAGAACCCTTCAGAGGAGGAAGCAGGGGTTTAAGAGAAGCTCCTCTTCGGCACGTTGGGGTGTGTCTGTCATGCGGTGCTATGTGACTGAATTACTTCGTAAGCCATTGGTAGCGGTGCTGCGTGGCTACGCTGGCGGAGCTGCAGGCCGTCTGGGACTTTCGGGTGACCTGCTCTGCTCTGGTTCCTGGTGGAGGGGTGAGACCTGCTCCAGCAGACGGAGCCTTCTCTATTGTTGAGTCACTTGGGAAGAAAGTGAAGTGCCCAGTAACCCAGGATCACAGCCAGAGACAGCTCCTGATGGAACTGCAGAACATTCTGTGATTCCAGATCCTCACAGAGTGGGTAGGATTAAGGAGCCAAATAGCCACCATCCCTCAGTTCTCCCCTTCCTTACATGGCCAGTGCTCAGGTTAAATTTCCATGTGCCTTGCCTTAGTTGTTCCCTGAAAACTTGCATGGGCCAAGCCCACTTTCATGCCTGCTAGAGAGGTAGCTGCCAGATTCCGTCCTACGGATGGGAGCTGAACCTTGCTTTGGTGTGATCTAACTGCTCGTGTGCTGTTTGAGTTGGCAGGCCTCACAATCCATCCATCCCCCTGGCCGAATGCACTTTCTCAGCCTTCCCGTCTTTCAGCTCCGTGGGTGAGTGGCTGGAAGCCATAGAGATGGGCAGATACAAAGATAACTTCACCGCTGCGGGGTACTGCTACCTGGAATCTGTGGCAAGGATGATGGTCCAGTAAGTGAAGAGTGTTCTAGAGAATAGATGCAGCTTAAAATAGCTTGCTCTGAAACACCAGGCAGCTGCTATTACATGTGAACAAGAGATACGCATGGAGCATCGAACCCCCTAGGCGAACACGCTCCAGGAGAGGTTGGAGCTGCATGTTTTTTGTGTGTGTATCTGTCCTTTGTTTGACCTGTTTAGATTTTAAAGCTGGAAAACTGGAGGCCAATTATAGAATTTACGGGTGAGTGGCTGGCCGGCTACCTCTCCCAGCACAGCTCCGATCATACCGGGAGTTTATAAAGCTGCAAATAAATAGCCCTGCTTGCAGATAATACAGGTAGCACCGCCCCAAGTGAGCTCCGGATCTCACTGTGACCCTTCTCCTCCAGCCCGCTTCCTTTGGGTTTGGCTTCTCTCCCCGTGACCCCTGACACTGTTCCAGTCTTTCCGTTGCATCCAGTGGCGATTACAGTGTGGGACCCCGTCCAAAGTCTGCAGGGCAGAGAGAGCATCTGTTGCCTGTGAAGTGCCCAGCATGCTGCAGTCTCTGTCTCTGAGTTGCTGTCTCCTTTGGCTGGGACTCCATGTGTGGGCTGCTCCAAAGAGAATTGCATGAGGCTTCGTGTCCACACGAGCTGTACCCCTGAGCCACAGTTGCCTTTAGTCTAAAATCTCCATTTCCACCATTGGCCGGTGGCCTTGGGGGCCTGCTGCTGTGAACTCACCTCTGCTGTGGGGCTTGTTTTCCAGAGATGTCCTGAGTCTGGGAATCACCTCAGTGGAACATCAGAAAACCATCCTGAGTGGGATCCAGACCCTGCGAGCCCAGGTGATACAGATGCATGGTCGAGGCGTGCAGGTGTGAGCCCAGCAGGGACGGACGGACACTTTCAGAGCACTGACGTAAAACTCCCCGGGGACAGTGGTGCAGCAGGGCCAGGAGCTGGCCCCTAAACTGGACCAAATCTCTGAGACTTTACCAAGAGCAGCTGTGTGAGTGGGAGGTAGGAAGTACAGGTCTGCTACAAACTAGTCATTCCAGAGTAGCGAGGGAGTCCAGGAGTTGGCGTTTCCTGTCCTGGGGTTCTCCCATCAGCAGCTTTAGTGCAGTGTGCTTGGTTGGTTGTGTTTTTCCCCAGCAATGTTTTGTAGGATGAGAGTCAAGCTACAATGATGCCGTTTCACATGGTACCTAGGTTAACAGGGTGGACTGGACACTTGTGTACTGGTTTTAAACTGGATTTGACAGTGTTTTAGTATCTCGCGTTCTACTGATAAATCCATAGGTATTTTTTATACAAGCTGATGTGTTTTACTGACCCCCCCCGAGTACTGTCTGTTTTCTAGAGTCCAGAGCACAGCGCACTCTAATGACCCAGCTTTGAAAGGTGACTTGGCCCATCCATTCCTGTCCTTCCAGAGGAGATTCTGAGTTCCCACTTTTCCCCAGCGTGAGCCATTCCATTCCAAGAGTTACCTCATTACGTCACAAAAAGTGTATGAAAAATAACTAATTCAAATCAAAGTGGCAGGAAAAAGTCCCCAAATTCCGTCAGAAATGGGACAGAGAAAATTAGGGAGTTAGTCTGGAGTTATTGAGAAGAATATGGCATGTGTCTGTCCATTTCCACTCCTGGGATGTGCCCACAGCCACTGAAAGAACAACTCTGGTTACAGGTGAGTAGCCTCCATTTCTCCCCCAGAGACTGTCCCAATGAACTCCCTAAAACCGTTCTCTGGAGCAGGACTAGAAATGGCTGGTCAGAATCACCCTGTTCAATCGTAGCACAATATTGACGTTTCACATCACGGATCAGTATCACACTGTCAGAGCCAGAAAGCTTGTCGCTGGGTGTGAGACGCATGGGGCTGTAGCATCAGGAAGGGTTGGGCCATGTGCGCTGTCTGTGATGAGAACGCTCTACACTGCTTGGGGGTTGGTTTGATGAGCCACAGTCAGGGTGTCAGTTTGAGGTAATTTCAATGGTGGTGTTGCCAGATTAGATCCCAAGACAGGAAATTCTGGCCAAATGGTGGAATTGGGAATCAGAACGGAATCAATGAACCGATGGGATCTCTGAAACTGTCTTGAAATCCAGACAAGGCAGGCTGTATCTGCCCCTTGTTTTGTTGTAAATAACAGGCCCCGTCCTGCATTCCTTGCACATCAAACGCACCCATTGTCTTCAGTCAGGGATCACAAATGGCATTTGCTTAGCAGTACAAGTTTCCTTTAAGTTAGTTAATTAAATGGATTTTTGCAGCCTGGATTCAGTTAGATGTACAGAGTTTTGTAGGCCCTTGATTATCATCTATAAGCATTACAAGTGAATTATTGATGATGAAAGACAAAGATTTACAAAGGGAATTAATGCAGTGGAAAGTATTCAAAGCACATTTAGAAATCTGTTTGCATTGTGATTCAGATGTGCCTACTAGACTGCACCATAGGGATAGAAAACTAAATTGAAACTAAATACAGGACCTTAACTCCTCATATGCCCTGTAATGTTGGCACAGTATTTACCCACTGCCTGGGCATCCTTCATCTGCTCTCGTAGAGGTGATGAAACAAAATTGGGGGGATAGCTCAGTGGTTTGAGCATTGGCCTGTTCAACCCAGGGCTGTGAGTTCAATCCTTGAAGGGGCCACTTAGGGATCTGGGGCAAATATCAGTACTTGGTCCTGCTAGTGAAGGCAGGGGGCTGGACTCGATGACCTTTCAAGGTCCCTTCCAGTTCTAGGAGATAGGATATCTCCATTCATTCAAAGAGGCAATAGTATGTTTTAACTTCTCTCACTGGCGTGGTGACCCTTGCAGAGCCTGTTACGGTGGGGATCTAACTCTTTTATTCAGAAAGGTTTACTCGATGGTGGGCTTTTTTAATTGTCCATACCTGAGTAAAATTCTGTTTTGGCTCAGGGGCTGTGATCTGTTCAGATTCTGGAGTCCTGGAGTCCAGCGGTTTTGTTGGCAGGATTTAGCTTTATGTTGGTTTTGTTGCATTCTCAAAGCAAATGGGAACGTTCTTCTCGAGAGGGGATTTTCTCAGATAACATTTCACGACCACTGCCTATAAGCTGGGGAAGGATGTGTGCACGTTTTGTGACTCTGACAGCTACATGGGACTTGGCTGGCTTGCTTTCTTGGTTATTTTTGTACTGCCTCCTTGCGACATCAGGCTGGATTTATATCTGTTTAGTTCCACAGAGGGACAGTTGTACGGTCCTGGGGATGGGTGTACAGATAGTGTTCATCATGTCACTACGTTAGACCCTCCAGATGTGGCACCAAGAGGGCGTGTATTTTAAATACAACAGAGGTCCCAGCTAAAGCTCTTTGTAATGTTCCTGCCCATGTAGAAGCTTTCAGGCAACGTCACAGCCGAACTCTCCTGTCAAAGGATCCTGAATCCCGGCAGCTCAGACTGTGTGAGCTGACCTTAAGGAAGTTGCCTCCTTTCTTTGCAGGCTTTTGAAACAAATTTAAGCAATTCCTGGTAGTAAAGGTGAGGAACAATGGAGTAACCGGAGCACAAATTGTGTGCAAAGCAAGAGATAAGAAATATTGCCCCATGGAGAACTGGACCTGTAATTTGTGCTACAAATCTACAGAGCATGCAGAAATCAACATGCCTTTCAACACACCATTTCTTGGGGGAATTGCTGGGGTCAGGAACTCTCCCTGAGGTAGATCAACTCTCTTCTCTTTGTCACTTCTTCAGTTAAAAAAAAATACACCTGCCCCAATGTCACCTGGTTAACTTTTAATGGAAAGAATTTGTCTTCAGGGTTCATCTAATTCCAGCCCACTTAGTCAACATCTTGTTGTTTCCTACCCAGACAAATAATAATAGTGAACTGAAACCTTCGTTTGGTAGAAATGCCAGATCCTAAGGATCAAGTGCAATTTGTATGCTCTTTATGTTTACATTTTATCTATAGAGACAGTGTACTGTAGTCCTCTAGCTAAGAAATTGAACCAACTTGATTCCTGATCATTTCATTGCATTTGAAATCTTCCCTTGGGTTCCCAGTATCTGTAACCTCTTAGCTGTGATCCTTCCTAAGGGTCGTCTGCACTCTGGAGAGCGTGCAGAGAGGCTGTGGAGACCATTGCTGGAATAACTGTGTCCAGCTCTGGGCTCTACTCTTTAAATAGGTGTTGAAAAATTGGAAAGGGCCCAGAGAACAGCTACACCAATGAAGGAAGGTCTGGAACACATGCCGTACAACGGGAGTCTAAAGGAGCTCAACCTCTTTAGCATATTGAAGAAAATGTTAACAGGTGATTTGTTCATGAGCTATAAGTACCTGCACAGGGAAAAGCTACCTGAGGACTCGACTCTAGCAGACAAAGGCATAACAAGATCTAATGGCTAGAAATTGAAGTCAGCAAAGTTCAAAGTGGAAATCAATTGCAGATTTTTAGCAGTGACTCTACTCAGCCATAGGAACAGATTGCCAAGAGTTGTAAATTCTTCATCACTTGGAGTCTTTAAATCAAAACTGGATCTCATTCCAAACGAGGGGGTTGAACTGGAGCATAAATTGTTGGGTTAGATGCAGGAATCGCTGGGTGAGATTCTCTGGTCTGTGTTGTGCAGGAGGCCAGACTAGGTGAGCACAGGAGCGCCGCCAGCTTTTCTGCCGCCCTAGGAGGCGGAAGGTCCCGCCCCCGAAATGCCGACGGCGACTGGGGTGGCCGAAGATCCGGCCGCCACGGTCGCCGCCCCCCAAATGTTAGTGCCCTAGGTGACCGCCTAGGTCGCCTAATGGATTGCGCCGGCCCTGGGTGAGCATAATGTTCCCTTTTGGCCTTAAAATCTACCAGGCTAGCAGAGAAAGGTCGAACACGAGCCCAAGGGCTGGAAGCTGAAGCTAAACAAATTCAGACTGGAACTAAAGTGTGAATATTGACCCATGAGAGTAATTAACCATTGGAACATGGTATCGAGGGTCGTGGTGGATTCACCTAGTCTGACCTCCTGCATAGCCAGGCCAGAAAACTGCCCAAAATAATCCCAACGGTGAATCTTTTAAACAAACATCCCATTGGTTTAAAAATTGCCGCCAGCAGCAGTACAGAAGTAAGGTTGGTATGGTATTGTATTGCCACCCTTACTTCTGCCCCGCTGCTGGCAGGGCGCTGCCCTCCGAGCTGGGTGCCCGGCCAACAGCCGCCACTCTCCAGCCGCCCAGCTCTGAAGGCAGTGCAGAAGTAAGGGTGGCAATACCACAACCCCCCTAAAATAACTGTGTGACGCCCCCTGCAACTCCCTTTGGGTCAGGACCCCCAGTTTGAGAAATGCTGGTCTCCCCCTTGAAATCTGTAAAGTATAGGGTAAAAGCGCACAAAAGGCCAGATTTCACAGTCCGTGAATTTGGTAGCGCCCTAGTTATAGACTATTGTTATATTTTTAATATTAACGTCTATCCCATCAGTAGCTAACCTTTAGGGCTGTGTTCAACGCCTTGTAATTCAATGAATTAGCAACGCTGTTTGTCAGCTGCTCAACCAAGGGAATTTATTCTCTTTCCCCTCCAACCTTTGGCACAGTGAGAACCTCCTGTTAGTCACAGGGATACCCTGATCACTTGGGCTGTAAGGAAGGTTTAATGCTCCTGCCACAGTACTCCCTCTCCCCCATGGGCACATTAGTGTAATCTGACCTATTTAGAGGAGAATAAAGAACCCTTTTTGGTAATCAGCAGGCTTTACTGGAGCTAATAAATGCAATTACCACAGGATTAGATTGTAGACGTTAATGTGGCTAAGGCACACTGTGTGTGTGTGTGTGTGTGTGTGTGTGTGTGTGTGTGTCAGAATCCACACCCAAGTAGGATTGTGCTCTGGTCTCCCTTCCCCTCCCCTGCTCCGGGAGTGGGAAAAGCCCCTGAACCCAAATTGGAGTTCTTTAGCTTGTCCCATTAGCCTCACTGCCCTAAGCCAGGCCACAGTTCTGTACCTCTAGGTACGGGGCCATTATCCTGTATGTAAACAGCTGAGCTCCCAGTGGCCAAAGGCTGGGTGCTTTTCCTCAGCCAGGGCTCTGGCTGCAAGCATGAAACAAACAGAACAGCCATTAGATCCCAGATGTCCTTCTGCAGAGCAAAGCGGCCCAAAGAGCTTAACACGCAAAGGCTCTGTGACCTCCTCAGGCACCAAGACCTTGTCAACATCTGCTTTGGCAAGCGACATGGTGGCCAGTGAGAACCGGCATTTCCCTGCAGGAGGGTGCTGAAAACCCCCAGGTTATCACCCCCTTGGTGAGTTCCTTGTCTGGGTAAGTGAGGAGGACTTGCCAGGCTGGTAGTGAGTGTCCCGGTTCAGCACATGCCCGTATGGCCAATAGGCCAGGCTCCCAGGGATGGATTTTCTGCACCCCCCCATCATGCCTGCAGAACCTGTGTTTTCTCATGCAAGAGGTGCCCTTGGAAAGACACTGGTACCTGAGTAACCAGAAATGACTCCGGACTCACAGGTCAATTATTTTTTTAGTGCAAACAACTGGCCTTGAACTGCAGCTTCAATTCCCTCTTCAAAGAGGCTTATCAGCAATTGCTTCCTCTGTCCCTGCATGCTCCAGTGAAACAATCTCTTTTTTGGGGGGAGGGGTGTCCATCTGCCCACCTTCCAGGCTGTCTGTTCAAATTCACGCAAAGCTCCTTCGGGTGCCTCTGCATTAATCTGCTAACAACTCTGTGACAAAGGATTTTCTTTGGATGATGACGATCAGAACAAAAGTACCAGTGCAAAAAGCACTCGACAGGCAAAGCTGTTCTTGGCATGCTGCGAACATAGGGCGATGCTATCGGGAGGAATTAATTCTGTCAACTTACAAAGGATAAACTTGGATTCAGGTCTCGGCTGAAGGCTCAACATGCGGCCATTATTCTTGCACTTTGGCTTTTCCTTTTGTTGCTTAGTCTCTGGCTCCCTTCCGGCGAGGATTCTGTACCCCGCGTGGCTGCCAGGGCTGGGGGTATTTCTCAGGAAGTGTATGGAGCAGACCTGAGCGTGTCATCCCCATCTCATGCTAGGCATCTCGGCATATTATTGGCTTCCTCAGACTCATTTTTCCACTCCTTGCCCCTGGTAGCATAACTGCCACCTCAAGCCACTAGCAGGGAGCAACATTGAAGGGCTTTTCTGTATAATCCCTAACTAATACCTCTCCATTGGAAATGCGACTCTGCCAGGGTACAGGCACTTTGCCTGCAGCTCTTGGCTGTCCCTGTGGGGGCGATAATTGTAAAGTGTCCCTGCTGTTCAGCTCTGCCGGCATTAGCTGCGTTGGGAGCCCGTGTGGGGACAGGCTGCCATCTGGTACCGGCATTCCCGGCTGTGCCAGTCGGAGCTGGTCTCCTCATCGCCTCTCCCATTGTTTGTTAAACCCGCTTGTTGCATCTTGTCTTCAGGAAGGCAGGCCCTGTCCTGAAGGACTTACCTGTGTGGGGCGTGCCCTGCACAAGGTGGCCCTAATCTGATCAGGGTCTCTGGACACTACCCACAGGTCCCATGATCCCATACCAAAATGGGGCTGGGCAAGCTGGTGTCTCTCTGCTGGGGGATAGTGAGGGGAGGTTTTAAAGTAGGAAAACTAGCGTCATAGTCAATAGCGTCGGTACCCATGAGACCTGAGGGAGGGGACAGCCTGAAATGAGGATGGTCCAAAGTGCTGAGCTTAAAAGCACTCAGTACAAATTAGCTCCATTCTTTAATTTAAGAAGTGTGAGTTTGTTCAAACTAGCAAGGTATTAAATCTCCTCCACCACCACCCCCAACCAAAATTGGAATCAAGTTGGTTCAGCAGTTTAGGTTTTTTGATATTCATTAACCACATGTTATATATTGTAAATACATACTGGAAAAGTCAATATATATTTTTATAAGTTTCAAACAAATGTAATATAAGAACACAAGGGACACTGTACATTTCACTATTTGAATTCTAGTCCGGCGTCTCCAGGAATCACTATTGTTTTGGAATAATAATAATATAATTAATAAAGCTCTATTGACATTTTTGTTAATTTTGTATGTATTGACTCATGGTTGAAGGTTGCAATAAAGAGAGACTATATGCATAAGTGAAACCCAATGCCAGCTGTGCCAGGACTGGTCTGTGTGGGTTTATTTCAGGTGTTCCAGTGAAATGCACCAATTAGCACAGATGGCAATTATCAGCCAATTAGTAGTTTAAGCTCTGGCAAGGTGTGACATGTGTCAATGGTTTATTAAGTAGTGTGCGTGCTGAAAGGAGACCCTCCCCTCCTGCTGCGGGTGGCGGGTAAGGCGGAAGCCCATCCAGAGAGATTTTTTTGCCCGGTGTTCTACCTCAACAATCCATCCTGGGTACTTTCTTGGGTGAAGAGCTGTCTCCATCTGCCTGTTTCCAGAAGTTGTTCAGGAAGTGAAGGATCCCTCAACGTTCTTCCAAAGAGCGGGTAACCTTGGAGCTATCAGCAGTGCAATCTCGCTGTCAGTACAGATGCAAACTCTCTATTCTGATGTTGCTGCAGGGAGGGGAGAGGGAAAACCACTGTAGAATACTGTGCGTAAGGCCGATCATTGTTTTATTGAGTAAACGAAAGCAGCGTATAGCCAGCACGTTACATGCAAACGCAGCACAGACACAGGCCTTTAGAAATAACCAATTCAGTGCGACTCTTCGTCAGCCCCTATTTCCTCTCTCAAGGGGCTTGAATATTAATGCTAATCTACAGAAACAAAATCCCCTTTTCAGCATCCTGACAGTAGCGACAGCTGCTAGAAGGAAGCTGAACTCCTCTGTGCTCCCCGCGGTCTACCAATTAATGTAGCCAGCCTCCACCAGGAGCTGTCTCAGCAAATCACACGGGCACTGTAAGGAAATCATCAGAGGCTTTAGCAAGTCAAGGGGATAGTGCACTCGCCTCTCCAGCTGGGAAATAAGGCCCCAGTTCTACCAGCACTTTACTCCTGACTTCAGCAGGACTAAGGAGGTGCTTAAGTCACGTGCATGCTTGTTTGCAGGAGTGGGGGCCTACCGCTCATCTCTCTAGCAGAAACGCATCGGCTCCATCAGTTCTCCTCTCCCCTGTGCCACGGGACTCACTACTCTACTCTCTAGGATCCTGCAGAAAGCGCGAGTCCATGTGCAGCCGGGAGGGGTGAGCGAGTCTAGACCACGGATCCAGGATCTTTGCCTAGGCCAGTGGTACTCCGCCTGCAGGCCACTGGCACTCAGCTGCGGCCCGTGTGACATCCTCAGGGTAGTATATGTATTGTGTGGATGCTGCCCACGTAACACTTAGAGAGCTGCATACGCAGCCCACAATGGTAATAGATTGAGAACCCCTGGCCCAGGGGCTGCCCTCCTCTGGAAGGGGCAGGCTGCACAGGTGCGGCCTGACTCCTTTAAACATGGACGCAGGAGCCTGTCCTGCACAGGTGGGTGTGGGGCTCATTAATCACTGGGTGAGGAAACGCTTTTGCTACACCCCCGCCTCTCCGAGGGAGCTTGCCAGCCGCGTGCTGAAGGTGCTGCCTTTGTAAATCAAGCCATTTATAATTGAAATCTTGTCATGTTGAGACAAACCCTCCACTGGCTGCATGCGGCGGCACGCAGAAATAACTGAAATCATTAGCGGCTGCCTCCCTGCACGGGAGGGAAAGGTCAGCCTGAAAGGCAAGGTTAGC